CGTTATTGGTGTTGCTACTTTCACTGAGAACAAAATGAACTAATGAGAGTTATTGCTTCCAACCTTCAAGGAGAATTATTCCCCCTCTGTCTCTTCCCTGTTTTTTTTTCTTAATATTATTTTGTTTTATCGTTCTTTTCCCAGTTTTCTCTTTTCATTTTCATTTAGCCTTAATTCATCCTTTATTCTTGACTTTTTTATATTTTGCTTCTTCTCCATTGCTAATCTTATTATCATATCAATCTTCCAAGTATACTAATTGTTATTGTTAATTTTATTATTATTTTTTTTATCATCACCATCTTGTTATTAGTATTTTATTATCATTATCATCATTAATATTATCACTATGCTACTACTACTACTACTACTACTACTACTAATAATAATAATAATAATAATAATAATAATAATAATAATTATTATTATTATTATTATTATTATAATAATAATAATAATTAATAATAATAATAATAATAATAATAATAATAATAATAATAATAATAATAATAATATTAATAATTAATATTATCATTATTATTATAATTATTATTATTATTATTATTATTATTACTATTATTATTATTATTATTATTATTATTATTATTATTATTATTATTATTATTATTATTATTATTATTATTATTATTATTATTATTACTACTACAATAAATGCAATGATAAATTATCTCTAAAATTTTATCAGTGCTTCCCAATATACAAATTTCCCATGATGCAATCATTATCAGTATCTCAGATATATATAATCTATGTATTATCCATATCTTTATATATTCAAATATATATATGACGTTTGTAAAGATTACTATAAGCCTGAACATTAAGATAATAAGAATTATCTCTCACTGAGTACAGTCACGGTGATATCTCTCTCTCTCTCTCTCTCTCTCTCTCTCTCTCTCTCTCTCTCTCTCTCTCTCTCTCTCTCTCTCTCTCCTCTCTCTCTCTCTCTCTCCAAAATGAATGAGTTATGGATTATAAGATGTAATATGTTTAGAATGAAGAAAAACGCCAATAGTAATTTTCACCAATGTAAACCCTATTACTTTAAAAGATTCGAAAATTAATAAATTTATTAAAATTCTAATATTATACTGGAGTTCACATTCTTGTTTGCTAATATATATATATATATATATATATATATATATATATATAATATATATATATATATATATATATATATATATATATATATAATATATATATATATATATATATATATATAATTCATAAATTTAATTGAATGCGGTGAAGAGCTTTTACATGAATAGTAGAGCATGCGCAAGAGTTGGGAATGGTACGAGTGATTGGTTTGAGGTGAATGTTGGGTTACGTCAAGGTTGTGTAATGTTCCCATGGTTGTTTAATGTGTATATGGATGGAGCGATGAGTGAAGTATATGAAAGAATATTAAACAGAGGCTTGGAACTAGTGGGTGAGGATGGAAGTTTGTAGAAATTGAGTCAGTTGCTCTTTGCGGATGATACTCTACTTTTGGCTAATACTGAAAATGAGTTGAATCATTTGGTGACTGAGCTTATTAGTGTGTGTGAAAGAAGGAAGTTGAGGGTGAATATTGGTAAAAGCATAGTCATGAGATGCACGAGGAGTGTTAGTGTTGGGAGATTGAATGTAGGAGTGAATGGAGAATTGCTTGAAGGAGTTGAGAGTTTTAAGTATCTGAGGTCGCATGTATCAAGGAGGGGACGAGTTGATGTAGAGGTAATTCACTGAGTGAAGGAAGCAAGTAAATGTCTAGGTGGGTTGGAAAGTGTAATGAGAAATAGATATTTGGTAATGAATGCAAAGAAAAGGATATATGAAGGTGTGATTGTGCCGACAGCATTGTATGGAGCAGAGACTTGGAATGCAAGAGAGGATGAAAGAAACAAGTTGAATGTAATAGATATGAGGTGTTTGAGAGGTATGATTGGTGTATCTAGAATAGATAGAGTAAGAAATGAGCATGTCAGGCAGAGAACGGGTGTTTTAATGAAGCTGTCGGATAGGTTAGATCAGAGATTGTTGAGATAAGTCGGACACATGAAAAGGATGAGTGATGAACATATAGTGAAGAGAGTGAGGAGTGCAGAAGTGATTGGAGTTAGGTCAAGAGGGAGACCTAGAATAAGATGAATGGATAGCGTAAAAAGAGCACTGAATGCACATGGAATGTCAGTGGAACAGGTAAGAGTACGTGCAAGAGATAGAAATGAGTGGAGGAAGAGTGTGCATATATGACTCGGTCCAAAGATATTTCTCGCACCTGATAGCTCAGTGAACAGTGGTGGACGGGTGTAAGGGGAGTTGCCATGTGACGAAGAGGTGGGGGTAAACCAGTTGCGGCTGTCGGGCCTCATCGTAAAATATCCTTGCCCGCCTACCTCCTGGGTGACCCAAGCAGTGTGGAAGGGGGGGAGACGTGGCAACCCTTTATCCCCAACGAGCTGAGAGGAGTGGTTGAGGTGTGTGTGGATCGTGGTGAATGCACGTTTCTTGTCACAGCCACCCCCTTACAAGGGGGAATGAGGCATGTGTATATGTATGT